TCTATTCTACGGTAGTTTAACTCTCGTGAATCGACTAAGAAGAGAAAAATTATAGCCACAGACACAAACTCAGGGAATTGCATGCACTCGAAATGGATCGAATCCACATTCAGCCAAAATGTCATAATCGGTTTAAAATCAGACTTAAATTAATTACTTAGCAAGGCAGTGAAACATATATTTTTAACACTTCAGTTATCACAATATTTTAGACTAGAATTTTACTTTTTATTTTAATTTTTGTAATTAGAATTTGCCATTTGATAAGGGACTTTCCGTTTTGAATTTTCCTTGAAGTTCGATATTTTTGTTATTTAATTTTTAGTATACTCTTGAATAGAAATCTACTCATAATTAATGTCACTAATTTATGGAATATGTAAATTTCCTTTGTTGTATAATTCTTATTTATACTTAGCACATATTTTATTTCTACAAAGCCCCTCGCTCTAAATTTCATAGTACATGTATATACCTTTCCATAGACTAACCGTTACTACTGTAAAGTTTTATCGTTACTTTTTGATTTTGATATTGAGTAGAAATTACCCACCTCTCGCCTCTTTCTAAACTCTTTTTAAAGTTCAATAGGCAGATTTTTGCCAAAATTTGCTTATATATATTTATGTAATGTATTATCACTTGTGTATTGATATATCAATTACTTATTCCAGGCCGCAATACAAGTTATACCTGCTTGTGGTTCCTCTATTGATGTAGAAAGCAACCCTTCCCATCTAATTTTAGATTTAAGATTTTCATACCATTTTTTTTAAATAACCATGCAGTTGTTCCCGTTTAGACCAAACTTATGCATTTCTCTCATTAGCCGAGATGCCAAACAATGTCAAAGGCTTTCCTTGCATCCATTAGAGCCACATATAGTGGTGATTTCGTCTTAATTGCTTCGATTATAAGTCCAGTTAAAATTAATCTGCAATAATAGGCATTTCTCCAGAAGTAAATCCTTTTTGTATTTATTTTGATTCTTAGTTACAGAAGTCATTAGTGTTATTTGATAAATGAGTTTTCTCGACTACTTTTCCTACTGTACTAGTAATACTACTTCATTTGAACTTTGGTGGATATTTGTCTCAGTGGCAATCATACCACATCTCCTTATTTTTATAGTAATGTTCCGATATGAGTTCGGATCAAGTTTTGGTTTTCCATTTTTTTAAAACAGGACAAGCAATGCCACCTTTCAATAAAGTTGGAATAAGTAAATATTTAAGTAAAAAAATAGAATTTACGAAAAGGGTCAATATATAGTTATCATAATAGGTCCACCATATTTCAAGTGTTCAGCTGCTATATTTTCTTCATCTGCAGATTTATTATTTTTCATAGATGCTAAAATATCTTTCATTTTATCTTCTGTTACAGTACAGGTGAAATATTTTCTAGAAATATTTTCTATTTTATTTTCAGAAAATGTTTTCGTTAAATGGTTTATATCATTTTTCATCAAATTAAAGTTTCCTTTGTCAAAGTTTTCAGAGTCCATAGGAGTCGCCAAGTCTTGAAAATATTTCGCCCATGCATCACGGACCAAGTCCAGAATTTGTAGTATTTGCTGGGTCTCGTTGTTTTCTTATTGACATCATTTCCTTCATGGTGTTCCGTAATTTTCTGACACTTATTAATTCTTAAGCTTGTCTCAAGTTGTCTTTGCATTGATCTAAGCAGAAATGTATATACACATGTGTATATCAACTTCCAAGCCAGGACCGAAGCTCATAAATTCGGCAAACGTAGGACTTCGGGAAAGTTCGGAGAGCCGACAACCTTGCTTCGGAAGTTGATGTGTATATACATATGTTTAATATTTTGAAATAAAATGTTATTCTTATCGGTTATTCTACCAGCGGCTTTCATATTACAAAATGATCTCTACTTATCTTAACTGTCCCTTAACTTTATTTTAATTCTGGAGTCCAGGGCTTTTTCTTCAACTTTTTATTACTAAATCTGATCCATTGGTTATAAATTACAAAGGCGTGACAGAGATTAGCACGGCGGTGGTTTACTTACCTTGATTAAATCAGACTTTCCCTCCAGTAGAAAACAATGTTTTGAATCTGATAAACTTGAAAATATTTGCTATGAAATTTATATAAATGATGCCAAATGGCTTATTATGGGAGCATACACACCTCCATCCATGAAAAATAATGACTTTATTGATAATTTTACAAAATCACTAGATAAATGTTTTGTGTCATATGAAAATATTATTATTTTTGGTGACCTTAATTTTGATATGTTGTCTGCTGAAAAATCTCAGACTTTACATGATATATGTGATATTTTCAACTTGTCACAACTGGTTAAAGGTCCAACATGTTTTAAAAAGGGTTGTAACCGATCCCTTGTGGATGTTATTATTACAAGTAAAAAGAATTTGTGTTTTAAAACAACAAATAGTCCAAATGGTGTTAGTGACTGTCACAATATTATTTCTACAGTTGTGAAAGGGAATTTACCTGCACAAAAATGCAGGGACGTAACATATAGAAGTTACAAAACTTTTGATATTGACAAATTTACAAATGATTTACAGAAAATAAAGATTTCAGAAAACTGTACTGAGAAAGATTTAAATAGTATTCATGATGATTATGAAAAAGACTTTAAAAATATATTAAATAAACATGCACCTGTCAAATCTAGGTGTCAAAGAAGAAAACCACTGCCATGTATGAATAAAGAACTGAGAGGGGCCATATATAGAAAACAAATGCTTTATTCACAATATACTAAAAACCGGAGTGACAAAAATTGGGAGAAATTTAGAAAACAAAGAAATTTGGTAACTAAGATAAAGAGAAAATCAATAAAAGTATACTTTTTAGAACGTTGCTCTGGTGGGTCAAAATCATGCGAGTTTTGGAAAACAGTCAAACCATTTTTCTCAAAAAAGGGGAACTGTGGAGAACAAAAAATCTTATTGTGTGAAAATGACAAAATTGTAAATAGTCCAAATGAAGTTTCAAATGTTTTTAATAATTTTTTCTCCACAGTAGCAGACAAAATTGGAGCAGATGTGGTATATGATCCCTCAAATCACCCAAGTATAAAAGAAATTTTGAGTAACAGAAAGCATGTTTCTGACTTTGAATTTAAGAAAGTATCTAACGAAAATGTCAATAAAATCTTGAATAAAATAAACATCAAGAAGGCCACAGGAGCTGATGGTATTCCAGCAAAAATAGTAAAAAATTGTAAATCTTATATTGCACCACAGCTGACAACTCTTGTAAATTTGTCAATTGAAAATAACTGTTTCCCTGATAAACTTAAAGAAGCCCAAGTGACCCCCCTTCATAAAAAGAGTGACCCATTATTAAAAACAAACTATAGACCAGTTAGTGTCTTACCCATATTTTCTAAAATCTTTGAAAAAATATATGAAATTCAACTAACTGAATACTTTGATAAAATATTTAATCCTTTTTTGTGTGCGTTTAGACGTGGACATGGATGTCAGACCACACTTCTCAGAGTGTTAGAAGATTGGCGAGAAGCTCTTGATAAAAACCAGTACATTGCAGCGGTATTAATGGATCTTTCTAAGGCTTTTGACTGCCTGCCTCACAATATCTTGCTAGATAAATCATCAGCATATGGTTTATCCCCCCATGCAGTTGCTTTTTTAAAGTCCTATTTATCTAATCGTAAACAACAAATTAAAGTCAACAATGTTCTGAGTGGTTGGGCTGACATCCATAAAGGCGTACCACAGGGTTCTATACTAGGGCCATTGTTGTTTAACATATTTATAAATGATACTTTTCTTTTTGTTAAAAATTGTAGTTTATATAACTATGCAGATGACAATACTTTGTCTTTCTGTACTCCAGATTTTGATTAATTAATTTCAACTTTGGAATCTGAGTCAAAAATACTTATTGAGTGGTTCCGGGTGAATAAAATGCAAGCAAATCCCGACAAGTTTGAAGTTTTGGCTGTTGGCAAAAAGACCTTTGAAAAAAACCCATCTATACATATTCAAAACTCGAACCTTACATGTGAAAAAACAGTAAAATTATTAGGCATTGAAATTGACTATCAGTTAAATATTGATGTTCATATCAGCTCAATCTGTAGGAGGGCATCACAGCAATTAAATGTTTTAAAACGTTTGGGCTCAGTTTTGGATAGACTTAGTAAACTTACTATTTTTCATACCTTTATTCTTAGTAATTTTAATTTTTGTCCTTTGGCATGGCATTTTTGCACAGAGAAAATTTCCAAAAAATTAGAAAAGGTGCAGGAAAGAGCACTCCGTTTTGTATATGAGGATTTTACCAGCCCCTACGAGGACCTCTTACTTAAAGCTAAGGTGCCCTCCTTACAGATTAGACGGATTAGAACAATGGCTAGAAACTTTTAAGATTATAAATAATATAGCTCCTGTGTGCTTACAAAATTTGGTGAGTGTCAAAAAATCTAAGTATTCTTTCAGGTATGTAAATATTCTGGATGTTCCACAGGTAAAGTCAACCCGTTATGGTAAAAAATCTTTCAAATTTGCTGCCGCTACTTTATGGAACAGCCTTCCAAACCATTTCAGGACTGAAAATAGTTTTTCACATTTTAAAAGTCTTGTTCAGTCCTGGAACGGTTTGGAATGTCGCTGTTCTGCTTGCAGATAATTCTTGAGATGTTTATTATTTATGTTGCTTTTGGTTGCTCTGGTCTAGCATGTTTTATTTCATTTTAAATTTGTTGCTAAATTTTTATTGCATGCTATGTATTTAAAGTGAGATTTAACTTCGTATAACAGGTTGTTTTATATGTCAAATTAGACTGTTTTTATGTTATGTATATGTTTTTATATTCGGTCAAAAGCTCCTTAGAGCTTGTGTTTTGTCTTTTTAACTTATGCCGAATCAAAAATAAAGTTTTCTTATCTTATCTTATCGTGAAATCGGAATAAGGAGCCCGAATTTGTTTTGCTGTTTACAATAGTTCAATAACGACCTTCACCTTTTAAAACGTGGATTGAAACAAAAAATATTGGTTGAAAGAAAAAGATACTCTATCGATATTTTGTATTCTATGGAGGAACCTATGGTATCTTGCTCAAGTGGTTATATAGTGGAATTCAGCACTGCGAAATTCACTCTCAGAACAGTTGTCTCTGGTAAGAATCTGATATCCAACTACATAATTTTTTTCTTTTTTGGGATTCAGAGACTAAACATGAGCTATTTTCCGATTTAGCATCTGATTTCATCAACATTCATGTTTCACGGGTTGTTCCAGGTTTGGCTAGAGGCCAAGAAAAATATATGTTTCCTGTTTCAATACTGAAGGATTTGTCTATGAGACAATTCTTACAAATCTGTTGTGTTGTAGTGTCTAAAGAGTAAAGTAAAGATGGAAAATAATTGAAATTTAAGTCTTTATGTTTAACAGGTAAGGGATAACCTGCCAAATGGGGAATAGTTTCCCAAATGAGTAATCCTGTTTAAAGAATCAATTTGGAGGTAGTTTTTCTGAATGAAGTCAAATGTTAAAAGTGTTTACTGCTGGAAATTACACCATTTCATGTTCATGTCTGTATTTCATTTAAAAACACATTAGCCACTGGACGTTAAGCAACCATCAATCATTTGATAAAAAAGTGAGCCAATCGGTCATTCATTAACTTATAATTACATTACATGTATGTTTCACGAGAATTAGTTAGTTTGATTGGCTAACAACAAACGCTCGTCATTCAAAAATTAACCTTCATATCAAAATGAAATGTTACATTCATGATGACACGTGCTTCCACAAAAAAGTGCACAGGTAAATAAGGAAAAACTTGATAAAACATTTTTGTCATGGTCTTATTAGCATAAAAATGTAATTATAAGAAATGAATGCTTCTTTTTTGTAATTTTATTGGGGTGTAAAAGTGTTAATCGTGCACATATTTTCAGAATGAAGCCCTTCCGCGCTTCATACTAAATGTGCTTCGGTCAACATTTTTACACCCCAATAAAATTACAAAAAGAAGCATTAATTCCTTAGTTACAAAATTCTTCTCTTCTGAAACTTATGTGCCAGTTTGAACCAAACAATCATCATTTGAGTTTCTACATGTAGTTACATGTACATGTACCGCCTCAGTGGTCTCATGGTAGCGTGTACATGTTTGCTTGCCATTTGTCATCATACGATGTGCATAAATTATCTGTCCATTTATATTTATGTTTATATTGGGTTATATGTATATGACTAACAAATAAGGGGAACACAGTATTCATAATGTCACCTAGTACTATAAGTATATAAGTAAAGAATTTTGATATAAAAAAACTATATACATTCTTACAGGCAAACAGTATTAATGATACATGTTGACCTGATATGTTATAAGCCTCCAACCTTGTATCTGCAACTTGCTTAACTATTTTATTTGTTAATCTGTGACTGGATTGCTGTAAACCTTCCAGAGTATAATCTGGATTGCTGTAAAAGTTCCAGAGTATAATCTTCAACTATTAAGCTATTCAAATGGTAAAAAAAGTTTGAAAAATTGAAAATCAGATTTTTGAAAAAGCCACTAACTGACACTGTCTATATAAAATTGTGGGTATGTGGCATGATTACCTTTGAGACAATTATCCACCAAAGTTCAAATGAAGTGGGTGTAAGGAATTATAGGCAACCTTAGTCTTCAACAATGAAAAAAGCTCATACCGTATAGTCGGCTATAAAAGGCCCCGACATGAAAAATATGAAATAATTCAATTGTGAAAAGTAACAACCTAATCTATACCAAAACAATTTACGAATAACAAATATGACAGACATGAACCAACGACAACCATTGAACTCCTGACTTGGGACAGGCACATACAGAATGTGGTGGGTTAAACTAGTTTGCTGGCGCTAAACGTGCCCCCTAAACTGGGACAGTGGTGTAACAGTACAACATAAGAACAAACTAAATGAAAATCAGTTGAAAAGGGCTTATCTCCTCAGATCGATACAAAGCTGAAAACATCTAATGAAAACACAGACTGGACATGGCAGCGTATATATCTTACAACATAAAAGACACTATGTAAAGATCTGAGAGTACTCACAGTTACTGAGAGCTAGTTCAAAGTCAATAATAACTAATAAAAAAATCATGTATACATCTAAGACTAAAATATCAATCAGTACACATCCGACATCCAATGGATTTAGTGAAAAGACGTCAATAACAGTTAGAAAAAAAACATGACCTTGTGCAATGCCAAAATATAGGTATTGACAGATTGTAGTACAGGTGAATGTGCACATATGTGTATAACAATAATATTTAGTATGGCTTTAATTTACTGATAACAAAATCAATATTTATACCAATAAAGACAATATTAAAAGATCTAATTACAGTGTTGAATTGGTAACCTTTTAGAATAATTTTACTTCACACACATGACATGTTTAAAGGATTGATAAGTTTACCTGGATTTATCTAAATTTCTGGAGTCTGTAAACAACATTCCCGTAAAAACTAGGATGTGTTATTCCATATGAAATAAGTTTAATACAGGTTCAGCCAAACTTGCAAACCAAATTTGTGTATCTATGTTTGAATGAAGTATTTATTAAAAGGCAACTTTGTAATTAAATGAATTAAAATTTAAACAAAAGGGGAACCAAGCAATTGCTTATAATTTTATGATGCATGGCCTCATTAGGATTTTGCTTAAATTAATTACTGTTGATTTGCTTTTTATTCATTTATGTTCATGCCATTGTACCATTTGATCAATGCTTAAATTAGAGAGACAATCAAATAACAAAATTACCTTCAATTTATATATATTCATGTACCAGTTGACTAGTTAATTACATGATAAACAGTTGACTTGGATGACAATTATGAGAATCTCAAGTTACAAATGAGATGTAATGTTTTGACAACTGATCATTATGGAAATTAATTAACCTGTGAAAGTTTAAATTACTCAATCATCTACAAATGTACAGTAACAAGATCAAAAGGAAAATAAACATATATGTGTGAAGTTCTCCTGATTTAAACTCCTCATAGAATGAGAGACAATGCAGCAGACACAGGGTAAACTATTTGTATAAAGTTTTTATATTTCTTAAAGTAGAAGACCTGGATAATTAATATCTTGCATACAGGTGCCTTATGTAAGAAGTTTCAATCTACCGTATATCTTTTGTTGGTCTGATTTTCTTGGTTCAGCAATTGCTTGATAAAACATTTTTTTTGTCACATGATTTTTCAGTAATTAACATTAATAGGAAAACTATATTTGGTACATAGAATCATTGCAAGTTATACATTTCAGTTGAGTAGAGTTCACCTGACCTTGACCTCATTTCATGGATCAGAGATCAGCGCTAGGTTTGGTCTGTTTATGAGATACAATAGCAATTGGTCATCTTATTTTGAATGGAATGATTGCTATATGCACATGTGGGTCTAGCAGTGTTTATCTGTCATTTAACCTCATTTTCATTTTCATGAATCATTGATAATGTTAAGTTTTTTGATTGACTGTATATATATATTAAACTCTTGATCATGAAGATACTTGAACATAACAACCATGATCAATAAAGTTTTTGAAACATTTCATTGTGTGCACTCTTGTTTATATCACTTGTTTAGTTACTTTAATCCAAAATAACTAAAATTCAACTATTGAAAATATGTTGTATTTGTGAAACTTGGTAGGTCAAATAAAATGGTATGTGTTTAAGGTTTCCAAACCAGGCCTATTTTGGATGCAAACCCTAAGGTTTAAATGAGGATTTGCTGTGCAGGATGACTTACATGTACATGTATCTACAAATGTAGAAAAAAATGAATTGCATGTACATGTAGAATAATAAATTTTTTTAGAGCTCAGTACTTGAATGAAAAAATTGTACACATTTACATTATTTAAGTAAGCTTTTGTGAATCATGATGTTTTACTGTGACTTGACTGTTAGTGTTGCTCTCCACCTATTGCAACTTATTTAAAATTCTGACCAAATAGCAATTTGTTTTATAAAACCAAACTGTTCAACTCGTCTGAAATTTGAACAAACTGCTGTAGAAAACCACAGTCAAGTAGTGAAAGTGCAAGGTTATAAAATAAAGCATACTTACAATCCTAAAAGACTTTGAAACCACTTCAATAATATTATAAAAAATCAGTCTAACAATTTGTACAAATATTCTTGTAATTGTCATGCAAAAGGTGATAGGTAGTAATTTTGAATTGCTATAAAAATGTCCAAACTAAGCTTTCATACAATTTTTCTTCGAAAAGTCTCCTGTATTCATAAGAATCAGACATCATTTGAATTAAAACATCTTATATGTCTGTCTGTTTGTCCATCCGTCAGTCCGGCAAATCAGTTTTCCACACTTTTTTCTTCCTGCTTAAAGATATTGATTTGATATTTGGTGTATTGTTTTATCATGACAAGTTACAGATCAAGTTCAAATTATGTTCTGGTCTGATGATTTTGTGCAGAGTAATGGTCCTTTGACTTAGAAAACTCACTAAAATAAAAATCAGTTTTCCGTACTTTTTTTGTGATTCTTGAAGATATCGATTGGATAATTAATATATAGTTTTATTATGACAAGTTACAGTTCAAGTTTGAATTTTGTTCCGGTCTGATGATTTTGTGCAGAATATTATGGTCCTTGGACTTAGAAAATTCACTCAAAGAATCAGTTTTCCGCACTTTTTTCCGTCATGCTTGAAGATATTGATTTGAAAATTGGTATATAGTTTTATCATGACAAGTTACAGATCAAGTTTGAATTTTGATCCGGTCTGATGATTTTGTGCAGAGTTATGGTTCTTGGACTTAAATAGTCAGTTTTCAACACTTTTTTTTCGTCATGCTTGAAGATATTGACTTGATATTTGTTATATAGTTTACACCATGACAAGTTATAGATCAAGTTAGAATTTTGTTCCATTACAATGAATTTTTAACCGGTAGGGGACTATGTATTGCCATGCAATACTCACAGAATGCTTGTTAACAATGTATTGTAATTTCACATATATTTTACTGAATATAAGATGTTTTAATTCAAATGATGTCTGATTCTTATGACTATAGAACATTTTCGAAAGAAAAATTGTATGAAAGCTTAGTTTGGACATTTTT